TTTTATGAAAGGCCTTTTCTGCATCTATTGAGAGAATCATGTGGTTTTTGTCACTGGTCTGTTTATGTGATGGATTACATTTATTGATTTGCATATGTCAAACCAGCTTTGTATCCCAGGGGTGAAGCCAACTTGATCGTGGTGGATAAGCTTTTTAATGTGCTGCTGGATTTAATTTGCCGCTATTTTATTGGGGATTTTTGCAACAATGTTCATCAGGGATATTGGCCTAAAATCTTCTCTTCTGTGTGTGTGTCTCAGCCAGGTTTTGGTATCATGATGATACTGGCCTCATAAAATGAGTTAGGGAGGAGTCCCTCTTTTTCTATTATTTGGAATAGGTTCAGAATTCATGGTATCATCTCTTTGTAACTCTGGTAGAATTCAGATGATAATCCATCTGAACCTGGGCTATTTTTCATCAATAGGCTACTAAATACTGCCTCAATTTCAGAACTTGTTATTGTTCTATTCAGGGTTTCAACTTCTTCCTGGTTTAGTCTTGGGAGGGTGTATGTTTCCATGAATTTATCCATTTCTTCTAGATAGTTTAGTTTATTTGCATAGAGGTATTTTAGTATTCTCTGGTGGTAGTTTGTGTTTCTGTGGGATCAGTGGTGATATCCCTTTATTATTTTCTATTGTTTCTATTTGATTCTTCTCTCTTTTCTTCTTCATTAGTCTGGCTAGTGGTCTATTTTGTTAATCTTTTTGAAAAACAAGCTCCTGGATTCACTGATTTTTTAAAGTGTTTTTCATGTCTCTATCTCCTTCAGTTTTGCTCTGATCTTAATTATTTCTTTTCTTCTGCTAGTTTTTAAATTTGTTTGCTCTGGCTTCTCTAGTTCTTTTAATTGTGATGTTGGGGTGCCAATTTTAGATCTTTCCTGCTTTCTCCTGTGAGCATTTAGTGCTATAAACTTGCCTATAAACACTGCTTTAGCTGTGTCCCAGAGATCCTTGTATGTTGTGTCTTTGTTCTTACTGGGTTTAAAGAACATATTTCTGTCTTAATTTCATTATCTATCCAATAGACTTTCAGAAGCAGGTTGTTCAGTTTCCATGTAGTTGTGTGGTTTTGAGTGAGTTTCTTAATCCCGAGTTCTAATTTGATTGCACTGTGGTCTGAGACTCTGGTCATTATGATTTCCATTCTTTTACATTTGCTGAAGAGTGTTTTACTTCCAATTATGTGGTCAGTTTTAGAATAAGTGCTATGTGGTGCTGAGAAGAATGCCTATTCTGTTGATTTGGGGTGGAGAGTTCTGTAGATGTCTATTAGATTTGCTTGGTCCAGAGCCGAGTTCAATTCCTGAATATCCTTGTTAATTTTCTGTCTCATTGATCTGTCCAATATTGACAATGGGTGTTAAAGTCTCCCACTATTATTGTGTGGGAGCCTAAGTCTCTCTGTAGGTCTCTAAGAACTAGCTTTATGAATCTGGTGCTCTTGTATTGGGTGCATATATATTTAGGATAGCTAGCTCTTCTTGTTGCATTGATCCCTTTACCATTATGTAATACCCTTCTTTGTCTTTTTTTAATCTTTGTTGGTTTAAAGTCTGTTTTATTAGAAACTAGGATGGCAACGCCTGCTTCTTTTTTGCTTTCCATTTGCTTGGTAAATGTTCCTCCATCCCTTTATTTTGAGCCTATGTGTGTCTTTGCATGTGAGATGGATCCCCTGAATACAGCACACTGATGGTTCTTGACTCTTTATCCAATTTGCCAGTCTATGTCTTTTAATTGGGGGCATTTAGCCTGCTTACATTTAAGGTTAATATTGTTATATGTGAACTTGATCCTTCCATTATGATGCTAGCTGGTTATTTTGCCCATTAGTTGATGTAATTTCTTCACAGCCTCAATGGTCTTTACAATTTGGTATGTTTTTGCAGTGACTGGTACTGGTTGTTACTTTTCATGTTTAGTGCTTCCTTCAGAAGCTCTTGTAAGGCAGGCCTGGTGGTGACAAAATCTCTCAGGATTTGCTTGTCTGTAAAGGATTTTATTTCTCCTTCTCTCATGAAGCTTAGTTTGTCTAGATATGAAATTCTGGGTTGAAAATTCTTTTCTTAAGAATGAAGACTGGGGGGCCGGGTGTGGTGGCTCATGCCTGTAATCCCAGCACTTTGGGAGGCCGAGGCGGGTGGATCACGAGGTCAAGAGATCGAGACCATCCTGGTCAACATGGTGAAACCCCGTCTCTACTAAAAATACAAAAATTATCTGGGCATGGTGGCGTGTGCCTGTAATCCCAGCTACTCGGGTTGCTGAGGCAGGAGAATTGCCTGAACCCAGGAGGCGGAGGTTGCGGTGAGCCGAGATTGCGCCATTGCACTCCAGCCTGGCTAACAAGAGCGAAACTCCGTCTCAAAAAAAAAAAAAGAATGAAGATTGGTCCCCACTCCCTTCTGGATTGTAGTGTTTCTGCAGAAAGATCTGCTGTTAGTCTTATGGGCTTCCCTTTGTGGGTAACCCGACTTTTCTCTCTGGCTGTGCTTAACATTTTTTCCTTTGTTTCAACCTTGGTAATATGTAAATATATATATTCATCAAGAATTAATGAATAAATATCACTAACATCATTTTGCTGGCAAGAAGATCAGCATAATGAACAACATTTCTGTTATAGATGTGCCTTGTAGAAAATCAATCTTGCCACATTCTTATAGATTCCTTTGTCATTATTTGAAAAATGTAGAAGCAGTGTGGGTTTAAACAGATCCTGAACTGAATTCTAAGAAAGGACTTCCCTAAGGCAACATAAGGGTATCAGTAACACCTCAAAACCCTACGCAAAATTTGTGCTAATTTGTGTACATTTGTTTTGCTGGGAGAAAAAGTTCATTCCTTTAACTAAGTTTCTGGAATGGTTCCTCCAAAAGGTTAAGAAATACTGATGCAACATAGCGAAATACTTATCAACACTAAACAAATCTAAAACGATATATTCATTTGTAAGAAGAGCATTCATCATACTCTATTAAATAAAAAAAATAATAATGTATAAAGATAGACTAGATAGAGCATTAAAATAAGCACTGATTTACACACCTTTGTTATGAATGAAGTCAAGATGGGCCTCAGGCAGACTGATCCTCTGGAACTGATTTCCTGGCAGCAAAATTTTCCCTGTATCAGCAGTTTATTTTTGCTTTTTCCTTTATTCTTATATCTTTTTATTTGAGGTGATTTCAAGTGAGATGAAGTTCTGAGATCTAATTTTTCTTAAGGTTAAATGTTCAGTTTCAGGTTAAATGTTAGATTAAAAATCCTGAAATCTCTTACATACCCCCGCAAATCTAATTTCCAGAAGCTACAATAATTGAAGTCTCGTCAAGGCGGAGATATTATAGTGGAATAATCTGATGGATAGTCATCTTCATAGCACAAAATTGATACTTATTCCTTAGGCAATGTTAAATGTTTCGTTTATAATCATATTGTTGGTTTATGAGATTATTTTGTCATCTAATTTGTATGAGTGAGGAAAAATAAATTTGTCTTAGAATCAAAAGCAAAAATGTAAAAGTAATATATACATATACATAAGGAATACATTGTAATTTTAATACATGATATAACGTTAATGTGAAACTTCGAAGATGACACTCATTAATGAAATTTCAGAAAAATAGACCAATTGGACAATGCACCAGAGTAGAGAGAACATATTTGTCTTATTTCTATTTCTGAATAATTTGAAAATATAATACTCAAAATGTCTTTTTGTTTTTTTTCCATACAAAGTTTAGGATTTCTTTTCTGTGAAAAATGTCATTGGGATTTTGATAGGAATTGCATTGTATCTGAAGATTGTTTGGGTAGCATAGACATTTTAACAATATTAATTCTTCTAATCCATGAGCACGGGATAGCTTTCCATTTATTAATATCATCTTTAATTTCCTTTATCAATGTTTTATAGTTTTCATTGTAGAGATACTTCACTTCTTTGGTTAAATTTATTCCTAGGTATTTTATTATGTTGTAGCTATTGTAAATGGGATTTCTTACTTGGTTTCTTTTTCAGATATTTTACTGTTGCATATAGAAATACTACTGATTTTTGTATGTTGATTTTGTATTCTGCAACTGTATTGAATTTATTTTTCTAACAGTCCCTTGGTGGAGTCTGTAGGGTTTTGTATACATAAGATCATGTCATCTGCAAACAGGAACACTTTTACTTGCTCCTTTCCAATTTGAATGCCCTCTATTTCTTTCTCTTGCCTAACTGCTCTGTCTAGGAGTTCCAGTACTATCTTAAATAGAAGTGGTGAAAGTAGGCAACCTTGTCTTCTTCCCAATTTTAGAGAAAAAGCTTTTAACTTTTCCTTGTTCAGTATGCTGTTAACTGTGGGTTTGCTGTATATGGCCTTTATTGTGTTGAGATATGTTCCTTCTATATATAATTTGTTAAAGATTTTTACCATGAAGTCATGTTGAATTTTATTGAATGCTTTTTCTGTGTCTGTGGAGATGATCATATAATGTTTGTACTTCATCCTATTAATGTTAGGTAATGCAAATCAATGTTTATCGATTTGCGTATGTTGAGCCATCTTTGCATCCCCAGGATAAATCCCTCTTTAACATAATGAATGGTCTTTTTGATGTGCTGTTGAATTCACTTTGCTAGTATTTTGTTAATGTTCATCAGGGATATTGTTTCCTGTAGTTTGCTATTTTTGTTGTGTCCTTGTCTTGTTTTGGTATCAGGGGAACTTATTTTTTACATTGACAGATAAAATGACATATATTTACCATGTACAACATGATGTTTTGAAGTATATATACATTGCGGAATGACTACATTTGGCTAACTAACATATGCATTACCTCGCACAGCTATCATTTTTGTATACACACATATTTGAATAATATAGATAATATATACATATTTCAAAATAAAATCTAAGATGTGTTTTTTAGCAAAACTTATTTCTACCAAAAGCATTTCAATTAGTATCATTTAAACATTTTTCTGAGGGGGAAAAAAGGTCTCAAGCTTAAATGCTGAAAGCAATGAGACTATTTTATTCTATAATTTTCTTTCTTTTTAAAGACACCAGACAGATGTGTTTTATTTTTTTTTTTTTAAAAACCTTTAATCAGAAAGTCTGATTAAATTCGATATTAACTCAAACTCTTAAAATTTTTCTGGAAAAGTCAGCAGGGTACATCACAGAAAAGTAGGCAGCTGCTGACAATTCTTTGGTGGAAAAATAAGTTGCATAGTTACCCACGCTGCCCAAATCATTATCAAGCCAAGTTTGTTTTTCAAAAATAGGTTTTAAGATATATCAAAGAAACTATGCAATACAAAAATTTACCAATGAAGTATATAGCAAAAGCCAAATATGATAATACACATGAATAATCTATAAAATAAGCCTTTAAATTCTAGAAAACTAAAATGGGGAGAACTTACTGAAGGGTAACATACATAAAATGAGGCCTAATAGCAAGGAACAATTCTAAACGTTTTCCCAATGACTGACTAAGCTTCAAAATGACAGCGTAGGTAAATGATTAACATGTAGTTTTTCTTTTATCCAAGCCAATTCAGTTCTACTTAGATAAACCTGGTTACCAATCAATCCATATATAAATTCGAGTAATTTTTTTCTACTCAATTATTACCATTTTTTATTTTTCATCTTTTCCTTAATCTTCTCTAGCAACATTTTTCCTTTGGTTTAATCAGTTGAACCTAAAAGGTTTAGTACCTGAAATGAGTATCAACTCTTACTGGAATAGCACTTGGGAAATGCAATTCTAGAAAAGGCAAATGTTTAACTGAGGTGCTTGACAAAGTTAAGCGTCCACTCCCAATATGACAATGTCTCCCATGTTCATCAATAGGTTAATGGCTGTTCTTGGCTAGATCACGTGACCCTGCGCGATCCTGGAATGCTCCCTGGTGAGGTACTACCGAGCTATGTGCACAAACACCTACCCATTTAAGCTTTCAACAAATACAAAGCATCGTTTTAAACCATTTCAGTAGAATAAATTAAAAATATTGCATTTCTATTGGCCTGCTTTGCTTCTTGATCTGGCTTGGAGTTCTGCTTGTGGCATAGAAGACACAATAAATTAGTGACTACTCCAAGCTCTTTAGACTTCAGCACTTCTTGTGCTTCAAGCCTCAGCTCCCTCCCTTTTCTTTTGCAGCAATAAAGGTATTCTCATTAGCATCGTCACTGTTATGGAGACAACACCTCCAGGAACTGGAGTGATATAACCAGCTTTTTGTCTGACTCCTTCAAAATCCCCATCTCCAAACAATTAGGTTTGACAGTTTCGGGATTGTGAACTCTATTTATTCCCAGATCAATGACTGCTGCTCCTTCCTTGATGGTATCTGCTGTGATCAGATTTGGAATGCTGGCAGCAGATCTTACAATATCTGCAAGAATCGTATGTTTCTTCAGCTGCTCTTTGGGAGAATATTGATGAGATATTGTAACAGTGGCATCACCCTCGGGACCTTCATGGACCCTTTCTGTGTGCAGTAACATTGCAATGTGCATTCCAACATTTTTTGACCTTCCAGCCACAACCACATTCTTCCCTAGGGTAGGAATGCCAGTTCGCTTAATTATTTCCCATGGGGTAGCCCGTAACATGGAATACTGGTCCAAACATATTCGCCCTACATTAATTACACGGAAGCCGTCAACATCCTTGTCTGGAGAAACAGCACTGCAGGTCTTTCTCTTATTAATATGCTCTGGAAGAGGCAGCTGAACAAGGAGGCCATCTACATTATCATTACTATTCAGTTTCTTGAGTAAACTCAACAATTCTTCCTCTGAAATTGAAGCTGGTTTCACAATTGTCTCACTGTTGATTCCCACATCTGCAGCTGCTCTGGTTTTGTTGAGGATATAGGAGTGACTTGCAGGATTCTCGCTGACCCGGATCATGCTCAGGTGTGGTCATTTGTTACTGGAATAACACCCACTCTCTCACTTCCTACTTCCTGTGTGATCTGCTGGGCCAGTTTCCTTCCAGAAATGACTACAGTGAGGTGGAAGGGGTGCAGGGGGAGGGAGCAGCTACGGGCAGGCTGCAGCAGGGGAGCCAATGCGGGCTTGAGGAAGTGGTAGCCAGAGCCTGCCCTGGTGACCCTGCCAGGAGGTCTAGTCTGTAATTTTCTGTCAGACCTTCAAAGTATTTTTATTATCTTTCTCGTCTTTTAGTAGTTATGAATATTTTCTTGATCATTACTGATTTTTATTTCCTATATTGTGGCAGAAATTTTTATTCTTATATATGGATTTTTGCATTTTCAGGTTAAAATCTTATTTGGTGAAATCTCATTTTTTTGCCCCCAGAGTTAAGCACAAAAGGGGAAAGATCAGTCTATAATTGAACGATGTAGTGAAACCTTAGCAGAAAAATATCTGGCAGTAGAAGCAGAGAGGTGCCTCCCTGGGAGCTAAAGGTTATGTTTTCTCTCCAAGCTATCTATTCTCCATCACTAATGAAGTTGAAAAAGAACTTTTAAAAAATGTTTGCTATGTTTTTCAAATCAAATTATGTATATCTACACTAGTGAACATAGGCACTTATGATATGCAGTTAAAGTATTTTATTTAATAGTTCCTTCCTATTGGAATATTGATTCCATGGATAATTTAAGGTGTGCAATAAAATCTTAGATAGTTCTGTCTCCTTTTTCTCAGATCCATTCTCTTATTGTGAAATTAAGAAAACAGGGCTTTCAGGACTTTCCCATCTCCATCCATCTATCTACTTAAAAATTTTAATTCAGTAATATTTTTAGTATTATTTATTCATGAATTTATTTATTTAACAGATATTTCTTACTTTCTCCTGCCTGATCCTATGCTTATTTCTGGGGAGACAATAAGGAGAAACAGGGAATCCCTGCCTTCATGGAACTTAGAATCTATGTAGGGAGATAGATACTGTGATGATCACTTAACAATTATAACCCTTGTTGCATTGTGATTAATGGTACAAACAGAGGTGTTTGGTAGTTTGGTTGAGGAATCTGAGGTAGAATTGAAATGAATGGAGGTTAGTAAGGGAAAGAGAAAAGAAAAGCATGTAAAAAGCTGTGTGGTGGAAAGGCTGGAGGTATGAAGACAGCAAGGCTGAAGCAGAGCGTGAGACGTGTGGCACACAATGAGGATAAAAAGGTTTGGAGACTTCAAACCAGACAGAGCCTTACTAGCTACATTGTTTTTCATTTTGTCCACCTGTTTTCCTCTTGATCCCGTATAATAATGGAAAAACACTGAAGCATTCAGCAATGTAGAAACATTGCTCGACTTGTATTTTGAGGAGATCACCTAGCTGCATTTTTGAGAATATTGGAGAGATACCAAAGGGTTTATGGGAGAAGTTAAAAATCTGTTGCACTAGTTCGTGGGAGAGGGGATGGTATTGTGGATCAGGGTGCTATGATGGAGAAACAAAGAAATGATTGGAATCAAGAGGCTAGTATTAGTAGGGGAAAAATGACTTTGTTGGCGAATTGGAAAGGGTAGTGAGAGAAAAAAACGGTCAAAGATAACTGCTACTTAGATGGACAGTTATGCATGTTAAAATGTGTTACACTTAAAGGGGGGATACGATTGTCATCATGTTGGTTTTGAAAATAAAATGTACCTAAGTGTCATCAGCAATCCAAGAGGAGATGCCAAGTTGGCAGTTGGATGTTTGGGTTTTGAATTAGAAATATAAATTCCTGAGATATGTGCATATAGAAGAAAATGAATCGTCATGTATTAAATGAGATTGATTAGGGGAAAAAATATACAATGAGAAGTCCCAGGAGCTACCCTTGATTAACTCCAATATTAAATGGCCAAATTTAAGCACAAATCCATGTTTCATTTGGCCCATAAAAGAAATGTTCTTGGAGGAATTGGTTGGTAGCATTTACATAATGGGAGATTACACGTAAAATTCCATATTCCTAGCTTCTCTTGAGAACCAGAAGCTATGACCATATCGATGTGGTATTCTAACTGAACCACAGGTGGCCACAGTGGAGCAGCAGCTTAACCTCCCTTAGACAGATGCAGCATGCATTTTGCAGTTATTCACAATCTCCACCACTCCCTACTCTCCATCACCTCTCTGGGTGGGCTGCCATTTGTTGTCATAACTTGTATTGGAGTTTTCCAAAAGCCTAATGCCATTACCTGTCTGGCCCCTTGCATGTATTCAAATTTGTGGACTCTGCATAGACTTTAAATTCTTCTAAAGTCTAGTGGACAATAAATACCTACAAACATATACTTATTGTATGCTGTGATAAGAACTCAAGTAGACACTTACTGAAAGTTCATGGGTGATAGAGGAGAAAGTCAATTGCTCTGCCTGGAAAAATATCCAGCCCTGGATGATGACTTTTTGTTGTTGGTTTTATTTTGCTTGATTTTAAGAGAGAAATGGGAATAAAATTCTGAGAAAATAGAATTTTATAAAGTCATAGATGTTTCCTGGGAGTCAATTAGAAATTTGACATATGGGAGAGGACAGAGCAAATTTGGGAAGAAGGTCAAGATGGATTCTGAAAGATATTTTATGACAGGATGAAACACAAATTCCATCCTTTAAGCACTAGAGAGCCATGGGGGAAAAATAAAAGTTGTGAAGTGACCCTCTTATGGATAATCTTCACGCTGTTATATCTGTTTACAAGATAAGAATGCATCGTATATGTTTACAGGGCTAAGAATGTTTTTAATCATTTTATACAGCCACTTACCTACTTTGTGTTGTGTGTTAAAGACAAACTTACTTCTGTTCAGATACCAGTAATTTGTTCTGTACTTTTCATATTGATTCTTAGAAGCAGACTATTCCTTTGGAAAAGAACTTTTCCAAAGGAAAAGTTCTAATCTAATCTAAAGGCCATTTAGTCATTCATACCAGTAAACTTCCTTCTCCAGTTCAACTTCCAAGTTTACAACTTTTTAGCCTCTAGAAACCAAATCTTTTCTATTTATCCAAGCCTCTACTCAAATAATTCAGAGAAATACTAAATAAAAATTATTTAATAATTATAATAGATATTTGATATTTATAAAATAATAATGTATTTCTGTGAGATAATATTTATCCTAATTAACAAATTAAAATTCTAAGTTATTCAAAAACATTAGGCCCATAAACACGTCATTACCTATTTTATTAAGACAAACTAATTTTAGCTTCTGAAAATAAGATGTAAACATTGATAGAACTGGAAAATAAAATGTAATAGCACAAGGGCAAATGCCAGCTTTTGAATTATATATAGTGATGATTCATGGGCATAACCATAAATCTTAAATAATGGAGCACATTTATCTTGAGGGATTGTCACAAGCATATGGAACCTTCAGGTGGTGTAGTGACTAATGACCATTCGTAGGCCAAAGTGAAATCCCAGCTTAATACCTAGGTTCACGTATGTGTGTACGTGATAAAAACTGTATCATTGGAAATTTTTGGTTTACTTTGTTTTTATTATTATTTTTATTATTATTATTTTACCTAATTTTTGAGCTTCTGAAGAGAAAACTAGTGCTGAGTAAATCAGACATCTAGTGATCCATTTATTTAAAGATACGTTTTTTTCCCAAAAGAAAGTGACCATGTTCCAAATTACAAGCCTATGTGTATATGCCTCTGTATATGTGTGTGTGTTTGCATACATTTGTGTGTGTGTAAATATACAGACAATACACCTAGTAGTCTCTAGTGCTATTGTGGACATTTTAACCAGTTTTTTTGTGGTAGTTTATTTTTAATATACAGGGGTTTATTTTTTTATTTTTTAAGGAATGCTTAACAAAATGAAGCTGGCTGGATAAATAGAGAAAAGGACATGGGAAGATATAATCTGACACAGTATCTCCAGATTTGAGCTGGATGGCTAAGAGTTATTTTAGATATTAAACATAGAGGGTTAGACCTAATATGGAGATGCTGTTAATGAATTTTGAGGACGAGAACTAATTTAAATCCTTCTGTCTCTGTAGTGCTCTTACATGGCTAACACAGACAGCCCACATTTGAAAGCTGATGGAATATTTTTCCTTTAGGAAGTTAGCTATAGAGTATATATTGACTGCCTGAAACAACAGTGCTCAAACCAGAGGGAAAGGAAAAAAATCCCTGCCCAGAAGCAAGAGAGAACCACAATGTGTGAAGATCCCTGCTGTGCTTTTCTGTTCTCTGTAAAACTGAATGATAGAAAGCCGCCTGGTTTTTGTTTCTTCAACTCCACTGGATCCCTCTTGCACAAAGCTTTCAATATCAGGACAGACTTGGGGGACCTCACTTCTAACAATTCCTTCAAGATCACTCTTCTTGCTAAACCAGTCAGGTTATTTTTAGGTCTTAAGAGCAAGGGCTCCAGGTGAGGAAGAAAACAGACGGAAGGGTGAGACTGTGGGGAGATGTCAAATTCAGCCACTGAAACCCCACGAAATATAGGCAATTATGTACAACCCCTCCTATATTTAATTCATTTTAAATGTAGTTTTATGCATTTTGCTTAAAAATAGAATAAATCTTTTAGAGTAGTTTTGTATGCAGAAAAAGAAAGGGAACAAATTCAGAAAACAATGACCCTCCCTAACAACAACAAAAAAAAGCCAAGATGTTGTAGTGGGTTGTAAGCCTCACAACTATCAGATTTAATTTTTTCTCCTAAGAGGAAGTCAGACAATTCTGACAGCCTAAGCCTAGATTATCTTTGGCCTTAGACCATATTCTTCTATGTGTCTGCAATTTGATTCTTGTTGATTTCTCCCAGGGATTTTTTTCCAGATGAATAATTAATTAGAGTCCATGTCAATTTTCCATAGTCATTGAATACTGTCAAAATCTTCCTAGAATAAAACTTGGATTTGTAAAATGTGAATTGTTACATATTCTACTTTCCTTGGAATTTGAAGGTTGTCTACATCCATGTGAGACTTGTCGTTAAAAACTCAATTAGTTGTCTAA